GCAGTCTAGCCGTCATATTAAGAATAAGTACGGCTAGCCTCTTCAGGTCCTACTAGTCTAGATCTACTAACTTGGCGGGTTTTGAATGAGACGTATGCCTCGGTTCCGAACCAATGCAGGCGGTTCAAGAAGAAGGCTACAAACGCACACAAACTCAAGCAGACTGACGCTCACACACTTGATCTACGTGAATGTGGATTTGACTCGGGACCGGAATTCAAGGGGAGATGTTGCTCGGTGTGCGTGCGCTGAGCCAGGGGCTAGACTGACGTGGGACCAGAACGCAGGCGAGGTGCCAAAATAGGCTTATCGGGCGACCTAAACCCGGCCCCCGCAGGACGAGGGTTTAAAAACCCTTGTTTTAGAAACTTAAAGGGTAAAAAAGTCAATATATGGGACTGCGAAGAATTTCCACAGGATTGGAAAAAGGGTTGCTTGTGAAACTACCCAAGAAAGAAGACCTGCAGGAGAGTGTAAAAACTACAGATGAATCATGCTCCTGTCCTTTCCTGGAAAGATTTCAAGTCGTACCATACTGGAAAGACTGAAGGAAGCTGTGAATGTAAAACTAAGACAGGAGCAGGCAGGATTTCGTAAAAAGAGATCATATACAGATGAGATTGCATCTTTGAGGATAATTGTGGAGCTGTCCACAGAGTGGAACTCTTCCCTATACGTTACTTTGTGGACTACGAGAAAGGTTTTGGCAGCCTAGATAGGGACTCAATATGGAAACTCATGCACCACTACGGAATACCTGACAAGTACGTGAGATTGATCAAGAAGATGTATGAGGGAATGCGCTGCGGGCAACGGACAGACTCGTTTGAAGTGAAAACAGGAGTGAGACAGGGATGCCTGCTATCGCCTTTTCTCTTTTTATTCTTTGATGTGGAATCCAGAAGGAAAAACGTTCGAAAGGAAGACCAAAGATGACATGGAGGCGAGCGGTACAAGCGGAAATGGAAAAGGCGGGGACATCATGAAAAGGAAAACAGCTAGAAAAGGATGCACAGGACAGGCTTCGCTGGAGAAATGTTGTTGATGGCCTATGGTCCACTGGGAGTTGAAAAGGGCAAGAGAGAGACCTCTAGTTTCTAAATCTGGATTCTAAAAACAACACAACAGTATTTTGTTGTAGTCTTTGAATTTCAAGACCAAGTAGGCTATTTGGTAAACGGTCATTTCGCCACACCCCAATTATATATCGAAATGACTTCGCTTATATATAAATCTGTCTCCAAAATTGTTTTGCTAGTAGAGTTTTGGAGGATCAGCGTAAAGCTTTTTTTTTAAGGTACGCCTATATAAATTATTAATGTAAATTAAATCTCTGTCTAAACTGTTCCGTAGCTGAACAATAGTTTTTAAAATAAGGCTAAAACGATGTCTGGTAAAAAGCTAGTAAGGCTTTGTTTGAAAGTAAGGGTCTAGTTTTTCGCAAAATTGCAGTACCGTACATTTCTATCATGAGCTAATTTATTTTTAGCAGAACTAATATGATTTTGCCAACCACACCTTTCCTCAATAGTACTTAAAAACTTTGTGTCGATATGACTCGATAGATTTCAATATTGTCAATAGGCATACATATTAATGAACAGTGCAGCTGATCAGGTGGGCACATCGACTCATATTGCCACCCCCCCACGCCCCTCCCATCCTTCCACACACAGCCTTAACCCTCCCCAAAAAATCATGAACAATTGCCCTGACAAAGCGCGTTTGATGTTTGCAAGTATGCTACAAAATGACTGTCTCCATTCAACCTTGTGGATTTGGGGTGTGACGAGATGACTGACGTCTTGACTTCACCGGTGTGACGAAATGACCGTTTGACGAAATGACTGGTATTCGGCTATTTTTATCTTTTGTTTAGTAGGCTATACACATGTAACGTGACGTGTACCCTAGGCCTAGACTCTATTTTAATAATTACTATTACTGAGCATGTGGTCCGTGGTGGTCTTAACCTACTATCGTTGAGATGAAAGATCTGTATTTAGATCAACCAATCATACTTTTGTTTGAATGTGTGTGTGTGTGGTTTTGTAGTCTGAACTTTTGCTAGATAGAGTGGAGTGGTTATCATTGTTTTCACCAATATTCTGATTTGACTGGCAGGCTTACAAGTACTTGTAGAGGAGCACAATGTATGACCCATCATCAGGCTACCATGGAGCAGACCCAACAATATTGGAAAGGGAGGGTGCCAATCTTGCTAACATAGCTGTGCAGCATGACAGATCAATGAATTTTGCTGATGCTGCTTTCTATTATTCCGTAAGTCATTGTTTCTTTTTTATGGTCCTGTACATTGGTGGATTTTTGTGTGATTTTTTGGTTTGTTTAAAGTCATTTGAACAGGTTAAGATACTGTTAAGTAAAACCTCTTTGGTATAGGCACTGAAAATGAACTTAAGAAGTTTATACTTCATGGCATCACATCTGCATCAAAATGAAAATATTAGGTAGCTACTTCTACTTTGCAACATTGTTGTAAGAAATATTGTAAATTAAGTTGAGATTTCTAAGAAGTTAATGAAGAAGTGACAAGTTACAGACATTTGCTCTGGAGCCTCTTACTGTGTTATACGGCCACCTGTTCAAACGGCCACTTCCCATTTCCCTTTTGCATTTTTTCTATATAATTTCACTGTGTAAAATGGTCACCTGTCCAATGTGATGAAGGCCTCAATGTTTTATTAACCAACAACAAAAAATACCAGTCTTAAGAGGAAGGCCATGCAAGTCTCTTATCGCATGACACTTTGATTTATATTTTTTAACGGGCCCATAATGTTGTGGACGAGCCGTTATAATCCATTTATCTGTTATTAGTCTTTCCAATGAGTGTTGCTCAGAGGTCGCTTCCAATGTTGACCCAAATTGACTAATTGGTAACGATAAATTTTGAGCTGCTGATGATGGAAGCATTTGATCCGTCGTAGCCTATAAGCCCTGCCCAAAACTTGTACACAAATCAAAAGTGAGATTAGCGGTCTCTGTTTACCCAGTCTTTAGCAATGGACACGCTAACACAAACTGGGGACAGAAGTGTCCCTTGTTGGCTGAGTGGTGGCGACCCATTTGTTTGTTTTACTATGATATATAACTATGGCACTCGTCTTCCACATTTGTCTCATTTAGTTTTGTTTTAACCTTGCACACAAAAATTAAGAAGAATAAAACTAACAACAAAAAATCCCACAAAAACCTTCGTATCCTCTCCCCCCTTTGAAAAAAAATAAATTTAACTAACGTCAATGCATTCGTAAACCTGCAACCGTCACCAGTTGGGACCCCAGTAGTCAATGGTTTGTTTTCTTCATTTTAATCAGTCCTGTGCATGGCGGCCACCTGTCTTATACAATCACTTTTTTCCCTTGACAAATCATGGCCACCGTGCCTTATATGGGTACTAACAAATATATTATATATTGTTGTTTGTCTTTTTGTGTGATCTTATTCACTGCTATGTTTTAAAAAGGTATTAAAGTATAAATGATGTAGTGTTATCACTGCTTTGTTTTTCAGGAAGCTGCTCAGACCTTGTTAGCTGCTGCTCAGGCTGGTTCTCAGTTGAATGGCATTGTGGACAGGGCAACCCAGTACATGTTGAGAGCGGATGATCTCAAGCAAGCCTGTAGGTTTTTAGAGTATTTTAAATCTTTTTCATGGTGACTGATGTACACATTTGTTTTTTTTCTATAGATTTAACTTTGGTGTACCTGTTTGTGTCATGCCTGTTGCATGCAAAATGTTTTTATAGTTGTGTAATATGTACTGTGTGTTCTTAACTTGTTAAATATAAATTTACTGTTTTAATTCATTTTTTTTCTCTCAATTGCTTTTTTGCTTTTATCAACTGGTATAAGCTTAGTGAAGAAAATAAATATTTGTCGGTGGGGCATTTTCAATAGCTTGCTTTTGTATGTTTTTAGATGTGAAATACAATTTAGGATGGTGCAGAGGAAAGGATTAGGAAGAAAGAGCAAATGTTATATATTATTATACATTTGATTCTTGTATCTGCTTCAGGAATAAAATAATCTTTGTGCGTTTGTGTGCCTGGGTGGGGGGTAGGGATAAGATGGGAATATGTTGTTGTATGTTAGGGTAGGTATGGGCCAAGTATCTGTAAGTGTGGAGAGAAGGGGGAGGCGGGAGGGTGCACATTTTTTCTTCTCTATACTGCAGTTGTTCTTGCATTCACTCAGTTTTTTTGCATCAGTATAATCAATTTGTTATCAATTTGTATCTGTTACAGTGCAGTCTACAAAGTCTGGCCCCACTCAACCTCAGAAAACCAACTTACAAGTGAGTTTTTTTTTAGCATTTGTGTGTGAGTAGTCAAACAAACGTAAAATTTAAAAAAGTGTTTTACGCCCCCATCGACACATTTGGATCATTTAGGCGGCGGGCTTTGACCTTGCCTGTCAGTGTGAACTCGGACTGAGAGAGATAAGACCTTCCAGCAGAAAGACAAAGAGACTCAATGAAATTCTCCCCACAAGAGAATTCAATACTGGTCTTCTGTGTGCAATGGTGAAGTGGCTAATCAATTGGGGTTCTCGTGGTAGGTAATTGTGGTAAAAGAAATGAAGTAGTGCACCATCTATAGTTAAAGGGCATTTACTGCTGGTCAAAAGTTTTTCAAATAGAATAAAGATGGATAAATTGCCATGATTCACTCAGGAAACATATTTTGGAAGAAAAATTAGATTAGCAAGAGACAGAATGTTTTATTGCAGAAAGTTCTGAGAAAAAAGAGGGGAAGGGGGATGATAGGGCATTGAAACCTGGCTTTAATCCAAAACAACTCAAGCCAGCAGAATGGCAAGAGGCAGAGTGCTTTTGCAGAAAGGTCTGAAAAGCTTTGTCAAACTATTGAAAACTAAAAAGATGAAGAATGGGAATACAAGTAGTCCACAGTCCCACCAACAACAAGCCCTGACCTGTGCCAAAGTGGTCTGTTTGATTGTAGGGCATTGCATTCTTACGAAACAAACCATCTTATAGGTAACTGTCTTTGATTGTTCCGTTTAATTTCATGGGCATGTTGGAAGCCTCAGTGTTTTATTTGATAAAGTTTTATGTTAAGTATAGTGCACTTTTTTCAATAATTTTATTTGAATATCTTTCAGCTTGATTTGGAAAGAGCTCGTTTCATTCTGAGTGAAGCTTTAGATGAAGATGAACAGAAAAATCTGGACGAGGCAATCAACCTGTATTCTGAAGCCATAGATCTTTGTCTACAAATTGTGAGTATACTCTCTGCAGAACTTGTTTGTCCTTACACAGTGAACATCTATGCTGTATTGAAGGGTTCTGTTGACATTTTCATAAGCAAGATATATCGGCAAATGAACTTTTATGTCATTTTGAGAATATATTATATTACAGTTGAACCTGCCCTGACGGCCACCTCTATAAGACGGCCACCTGTACAAATGGCCACTTTCCATTCCCCCCGTTGTATTTTTTCAATATAATTTAACGGTGTAAAACGGGCACCTGTCCAACTCGGCCGTGGCCACCATATTTAAACACACAACCCCTATCACACTAAGCAATAATACCTGTCTTAGACGGCGACCTTAGTGACTCTATTACGTTTGTCATAAATTGTGCTTTGGCCCCTGGCATTGTGGGCGAGCCGTCATAATTCAATCGCCTGTCATTGTTGTTAGGTAGTCCCTCCAACCGATCATGTTGCCTAGGCCCCTCTCACTGTTGACCAATAGGTATCAATTTTCAGCTGCTGGTGAGGTAAGCGTGTGATCCCTCATAACCCATAAGCCCTGCCCAGAACTCATATACAAATCATAAGTGAGATGAGTGGTCACTGTTTACCCAGTCTGTAACAAAGTAGCAATGGACGCCAATATGAACTTGTGACTGGAGCGTTGCTCATTCTCCGAGTGGTGGCGACCCATGTGTTTGTTTTAACATAGCACTCAGTCTTTCTCGTCTAAAACATTTTGTTTTATTGTCACCCTTGTACAAAATCAGCAACAAAATAAAATTCACAAACAAAATACAAACCAACAAAAACAACAACAGTTCGGCTACTTTCGATTGGGACTTCAGATGGACCGGGTATGGTATGTTTTCTTCATCTTGATCGGTCCTGACTAAGACGGCCTCCTGTCTTATATGGCCATTTTTCTCCTTGGCAATGGGTGGCCGTCTTACACAGGTTTGACTGTACTTTTATAATGGAATACAATACTTATGTTAAAGGTGAACTTAACTTTATGGGATTTTTTCCCCCCATTACTACTGTGTGTACTGGTAAAAAAAAAGTGTAAAAACTAAGAATGGAAGAGAGGTATAGCTTCATCTTTTTTCATACTTTTGATTTTTTAAAAACCCCATCTATCTTGAAAGTTGAGATATTCACTATTGAAGGAGGTGAGGTCGCATGGTGTTAAAGGCAAAATTAGCAAGAAAATGGCTGCCAAAGTTTGGTAACTACCAAAACTTGAGTGTCCTTGAAAACTGCAAATTTATATTATTTTTGCACCTTTGATCAACTTCTGTTTTTTAAATATCGCCCTAAAAGGTGTTGAGCCCCTCGCAAAAATTAGATAAAATTGAATGTTTGAGGAGCAAAGCTGAATGAGTTTTTAACCATCATTGTTGCACAAGATGTCTTACTTGTTTTAAAGAAGGCAAAGGTAAAGAATAGTGATTCTTATTGCCTCCCTCCCCACCTCCCCATATACCATTGGTCATCAATTACTTTAGATCCGTTCTCAAATCCTCTCGGTCTTCTGTCAATTTTTTCAGTGTCTGTAATATTTTTAGATCAGCAGGCAACTGTAGGGACGCAGGCAACTGTAGGGACTCCTTCAACTTATTAGTTATTACTTACTTTAGCCGCTAATCAACCGTGATCCAATTGTTTTGCTCACTTTCGTTTTCAGCGGGACAATAATCCTGATCCTAAATTGAAAGATAATGTTGTCAAAATGGCCACTCAAGCGCTGGACCGGTGAGTTTTTCCTTTGTCACATTTTCACCCGCTTTTCTCTTCTTTGTAGTGTTTTACTTGAAAGACAATGATACCCCATGTATCAGGTATATAAGCTGCACAGTTTTCACAATACTTATGAATTGTTTAGGCTAGTTCTTTATGTGAGGCCTTAAATGAATTAACTTGAAGCTCTGATATATGCTTTATTTGTGGTGAAAAGAGGCTTAATTTTTCTTTTGTGTCATTGTGCAATAGTGGAAGAATTTTTTTTTTTTACAGTTATCAGTTCAGAAATGAATCCGTCTTGTTCAAACCATTTTAAAACTCAAATTTCTTTTTTTAATACTTGCTTTAAGGTTAATGAAAGGTTCATTTTTTCCTTGTTATTTTATTTTGCCCCTTTCGTGTTAGACAATGTTTTAAAGCATAAAAAAGATCATTAGAAAAGATTAAGGAGTTAACATCTGAGACTAATTTATTCAACTGATTTGTAAAGTGTACAAGAAATCAATCTGAAGGATATGCTGACATGCATGACCTTTCTAAACTCTGTGCACGTAAAGGTCATATAACAGATTTCATCTTTCTACCTAATTATTTTTTTTCAAAGTTAAATATCTGTTATCACTGTTTTAACACATCAGATTTAATCACTGAGATTTTGCTTGTACATTCATCTTTAATACCAAAGTATAACGTCAGTAAATCTTAAGTTTGTTTCTGCTTTATTGATTTAAAAGAGTGTAATTACAATTGCATGCTTGGGCATAGAACTTGTTTATTTTCTTAACTATTTTCTCCCCCCAGTGCTGAAGCCTTGAAAAAGAAAAAAGCAAATACTCTTCCTTCACCAACATCATCAACGTCGTCTTCTGTTAGAACTGCAGATGGCAAAATTGTGCCCCCTTTAGGGTTTGGGGCATTCCTGGAAGATGACAACAATGGCAAAAGCAGCGTGAGCTCTCGGCTTCCCTCCCCTAGCATGGGGGCTCCGACTGTTGGGGACACCCGGACGTTCACACCATCAGGAAAGAGGGGATTGATCAATGTGGGACCCAGCTCTTACTCAAAGGATGAAATTGCTGTTCTCAGGTATTTTTTATGTTTTTTTTTTTTTCATTTCTGTTCCTGAACCTTACTCCACCAGTGCTTTACTTTTACAGAAATTCTGTATTGCAAGCAAAAATTTACCTAACAGTTTCCATGGTACCTGTCTTACTCTATTTGAGTCTCATATTGTTATATATGAGGGTTGGGGGAAGATTGACAATCAAAATATTCTTATTTTATTATCGATTTTGAAGATAACCCTGAATGGTCCAACTTCTTTCATTCTCTTAATTTAAAAAAAAGTCTGGTGTCTTGCTTTTTCAGTGATACTAGATGATAAAGGGCAGCAAGGCTTTGTGCTCTTTTATCTTCAATGAACTGACAAACTCAAAATGAAAAATATAAGTCTGTGATATCACTGAACAGTCACAAACAAATGAACTACAAGACTTGCAATGGCAAAGCAACAGGACAAACTTCATAAATCTAGTAGTATGAATGAAGAAGTAAATAAGACAATGAGAGTCTGGTTTTAGAGAGCTCATGTGGATGCTTAAATTGATTCTGAAGTCAAAAGATTTTTTTTTTTTTGGTCTCTTGATTAAAACATTACTTTGTTGTTGCTGGCTCAAGATGACATCAGCTTGGACAAAAACAGTCAAAATATGATATTCTTTGACACTGATAGACGTACAAAATATAGTAGACAGAGCTCTGCTAATTTCTGATTTTTTTTTTTTTTTACGGGTTCACTTTTCAAACTCAATTAAGCTTTAATATTTGACCTGTTTTCAATATGTCTTTTTTGCTTTTTTGTTCACACCATCTTCTTGTGCTGCAAAAGAAGTAATCTTTGTTGCTTTATTTTACCATTTTCTCTTACAGGAGCACTTCCAAAATCAACAGTAGAGAATATGTGCCTTTCCTGGCCGTGGACAGAAGGGAGAAATTTGCCTTTCCAGTTCAATTTGAGTGAGAATTGTTGGCTTTTGTTCTTTTCTTTTGTTTTTGTAATTCCCTGTCTTGATACTCACTTCACAATGTCGAATTATAGTCCAATAGGTGTAAGAAAATGCAGTATTGTCTGATTCCTCTTAGAAAATGTATGTTATGTCTGCTCCACTTTGTTTTTGTCTGTTGCTATGCGCTTTTGGTGACTTTGTTCACAGATGTTACATGGATGGATAGTAGAGATTGTCTGAGGGTGGTTGGCGGGTTCTCTTTTGTGGTTAGCTCCTTCTTTCCTATCAAACGTCTATCTCTCTCTCCTTTTTTGTATTTCTTAATCTCTTGTAACACATTGGATCTTCGGCACGTATATGGCCTAATTGTGTTGCAAGTCATGTAAAGCTCTTACTAAAACAGAGATTGCCTGTATCTGTTTCAGTCCCCTCTTTGTCTTGATTCATTTTCTTTATGACAGTTAATAGTGGTGATTTTTTGGTATTTTTTTCTTTCTTTCTAATGCCTTTGTTTATTAGGCAGTTTTTCACATTGTGACACTGAATTGTAGTTTTCTTTATTTCAAACACACAGACACACACAAGCATGAATGGTTCACAAGGAAATACAGGTTTTTGTTCTTTTAAATGCACAGAAACAAGCGTAAATGGCTGACAAGAAAATACAGTTTTCCACTTTCCTGCCTAGTAGTCTCTGTGTTCCCCTGGAGCAGAGACTATCCCTCTGTAGAGGTTTCTGTGTCATTTTTCGAAGAACTGATCTTGTGGTGGGAAGAACTCTTTTATGATGAGATTTTTTTAATGATCAAAGTACGGTCAAACTTGTCCAAGATGACCACCTATTATCAAGGAGAAAAGTGGTTGTCTAGTCCAGGCGATCCTTTTGGGCAGTGTCATAATGTAAAAAAATTGCAAGACAGAATATTATGAAAAGAAGTCTTGTGTACGGATGATTATCTTGGACAGGTGGTTATTAGAGTATGTCCAACCATTTTTTATTTCCTCAAGAAGTAGTAAAAGGTCATTGTTCTGTGTACTCTACAGTGACAAGGATGGGAAACTCATCTTGTCCCCCAAGCAGAAGCAGCAGTTTGGGAAGTGGGTCCGCCCGGAGGCGTTCTGTGATGACCCCAAGGTTATCATTGCTGTGTCCAGTTTCAGTATTCGGCAGGTAAGGACTATATGTATTGATAATTTGTAAAAAACAACTAAAGGTGAAGTCAGATATAGAAGAAAAAGAGCTCTTTAATCCTTTGTTTGTTTAAAGTCGCCATACTTTTAGCATCTGAAATGTTGGCAAGTACTGAGACTTAATTCTAAAATATAGCGGATTCAAAATTCAACAGATCTATCAGGTTTGATTTTGAGACCCATGTACTTGATCTGCTAGAAAATAGGAAAAAAATAAGCTAAAAAGTTTTATCAGTAGAATTCATGAGGGAGCTCAGGCTATGCGTTTTGGGTGTTAAAGACTTGGTCTGGCATGCTCTTCTTGTGGGAAGGAAAAATATCTAATAACTCCACTTTCTTCTGAAAAGCTCTCATTATGTCTCTAGGGTCATAATACTAAAACAGAGATGACAGAAAAAGTGTCAGGTGGTCTTAGTATTCAAACTTCTTCCTCCTCTACTCATCTAATTTTGCTCATCTTGATTTGATGCTTTGCTGACAAGTGTTGAAGAAAACAAGCAGAGTTATGTCTACAAACCTTGAAGCCAAAAGCATTGTGATACACATTCTCAAAAAATTTGTTTGTTTTTTTCTCTGTTCCTCTCCAGACAATAGTTTCAGACTGCAGCTTTGTTGCCTCTCTTGCCATCAGTGCTCAGTATGAGAAACGGTTCAGGAAAAAGCTAATCACAAAGTAAGTGGAAGTATTATAGTGCAGCAGTGCTACATTATTGTCTTGTTCCCCTTCTGACTGAATGCTGGCACAACCTCACCAACTCGTTCATCCTAATTTTACTGTCCTGGTCCTACAAGGCTGTACATTACGACAGCCTGTCACATGTTCAAATGTTGCCTTTGATTTAGGAGTATCTGTTTCCTGCTTCCTATTTTTATGGGTACAAGATGTGAGACATGGTTAATAAAAATCTATTGAAAGTTGCTTCTGCTACTGTAATTGCTCCTCCTGAGCAAAGATGGCTGCATGTGTCCAGAAATGTGATGATGTTGATGGTGGTATATTGAAGTAGATTAAATAACGCTGATGAGAATTCATGAAAGCAAGGATGATGCTATTTGTTAACTTTAATCTATGAGTAATTCTATTACAACCAATTTCTGGAAGCCCCTTTGGAGAGTCTTGTGTGCTTGGATATTACTCCCAGTATCTTTGGTAAGAAAATTGAGCTTTCCTTGTTTGTTCCTGACCTGTGATATTTGCGGAGCCCTTTTTCTTTTTTTTTGGATAATTTGTTTTCATCTTTATACATTGAGCTCCATATTTCAGGTGGCTAATTTTTATGTTCAAATTTTGAAGTTGTATGGCTGGCTTTTAAAAAAAATTGATAGCATTTTTCGATTATACAAATACTCCGGCTTGAAAATACATAATTCTTACTCCGTCATATCACTTTTCTTACAGCATCATTTTCCCACAAAATCGTAATGGTGAGCCTGTGTTGAATCCTTGTGGGAAGTACATGGTTAAGCTGAACTTGAATGGGGTCTGGAGAAAGGTAAGCCCTTAGACATTTGGTACTGGGTTGTACCTGTCCTAACTAATAGTGTCAACTTGTATATTTGGAAGCCTGTAGTTATATTTTTGTTTTTGATCAGATTTTTGTGTCTTTATTTTCAATTTGTTTTCCTCTTTTGTCATGGTGGTACTGGTACTTCAGTTAAAGTATCAAAGAAACACCAGAGCTCCTCAAAATATAGTTTCGCTACACACACACACACACTGACACACCACACCCCATATTCAGTGCAAATTCTCAGGATGAACAATGATGAGGATTCCAGGCTTGCCTGTGTTTCTCCTTCAGTTGACTTGCCTGTCATGCTTTGTGGAAAGGATTATTTGGAGTAGCAGATGTGATTAGCGTATAAAAATAGATTTTGGATCATTACAAAAATTACGTTTTTTGAAAGAGAGTGGCTTATTCCTCCAATGTTGGTCTATTTTCAAAGGTGTTAACTCAGTTTGTCTGCATTATTTTATATCCTAATAGTGTTGCAAATAGTGTAAAACTCTTACTAAAACATACGAACTTCACAACTTCATGGGACCTAAAAATTTCATTGGGTAAGGGGTTAAGCAAATTTTGTGTTAAGGGAAGTTGCAATGTGTAGAATAAAGATTGGGGGGGGGGATTCTAAATATTATTGTGTGAACAGGAATTTTGCGTTAATCAAAAGTGTATTTACTGTACTTGGATTTGGATGATTTTAAGTCACAATTGTTATATAATCATGTTTACCTGCTTTTGAAAAATGATTCTTTTGACTTGACCAGACTAGATTTTTTCCGTAGGACAAATTCTACGCTTCATCCTTTTTATCCTCTGCAGGTTGTTATAGATGACTACCTCCCAATGTCCAAGTATGGAGACTTGCTCTGCTCTTTCTCAAACAACAAGAATGAGTTATGGGTCTCTCTGCTGGAGAAGGCATACATGAAAGTCATGGGAGGTTACGACTTTCCAGGCTCCAACTCGGTATGACGATGTACTGTGTTTGTCAATGACTCCCACATGTTTGTTCATTATTTTACCTTGTTTTATAATTAATTGTCTAAGATAAGCTTCTTTTTTTTGTTGTTAACTTCGTAACTTTGTATGATGAGAGAGAGAACTTCAGATACTAATTCTGGTTTATTTTATTAATCAGTTTTTTTTTACTTAGTTCTTACAAAGTAACATCATAGCTGTTCAGTTATAATGGTTTTAACATTTGTTTTTCCATATTTTTCTTAGATTTTTTTCATACATTGATCCAGAAACATCATACTTTAAAATAATATGAATGTTTAAAAGATGAGGCTGAACTGAATGTGGTGATAGTGAATTCTGTTGTTGCTATTTAACCGGTGGTGTCTGGGTTTACTGACTTTTGTGGAGTGGCAATAATACATACATAAGTTTATTATGTCAGTAATACCCTATATGTTTATAGTTATCTCATGCACCTCTTTTACAGAACATAGACTTGCATGCCTTGACAGAATGGATTCCCGAGAGGGTGGCCATAAGAGCCGGCTCAGCTGAGTTCAATAAAGACCGAGAGTTCAAGCGCCTGTTGGACAGGTTTCATAAAGGTCACTGTCTGGTCACAGTAGCCACTGGTGAACTGTCGGATGTGGAGGCTGACCGCGCTGGGCTGGTGCCCACTCATGCATACGCCATGCTGGATGTCAAGGAGTATAAGGTAATGTTCGCATCAAAAAGAACATTTTAAAGTTCTATGTAAGTGTGGGCTGGGATGACTTAATTTTTTTGCCCATTGCAGATGTGGTACAGTCCTGAAGTCTCATTACAGCCAGTACAAGATTTTTGCAGGGACTGTGCTTTATGAAGTGCATATACATGTGAATATTTAATTTTTTTCCCATTCCTCATTTCCCAGTCACCGTGAAGCATTTCGTTGCATAAAATCTGAAACAGTTTCTTTGTAACAAATTGTGATTTGTATTGCTGTTTTCCATCCTTTTTACTTGTTTAATTTTTGTATTTTATTGGATCTTGTTGATTTCATATTATTCAAGAACTTCAGCACCAAATGAATTCCATTTTTATTGTCTATTCATTCTCCTTTGTTCTTTCTGCAGGGCCGCCGCTTGTTTATGCTTAAGAATCCATGGAATCACTTGAGGTGGAAAGGCAACTTTTCTGAAAAAGATTTGGCCAACTGGACTCCAGAACTGCAGAAAGCACTGAACTATGATCCAAAGAGTGCCCAAATGTTTGATAATGGTAAGTTTATGCTGCCTTTATACTTAATGCTCTTCATCATTATGTCACAAAGTTTTTTTGTTTAGCTTTTCTCCATAATACCTGTGCATGCCTGGTGGAAAGTACATATGACTATGATGCATTTTGAAGAATTTAATTTTATTGTATTTTATGGTTCAGAAATAATTTCTGAATAACTTACTTTAAAATTAAAGATAGCTTCAGGACTGTAGGAGATCTGGTGATGTCAAGTTGGGTGTGGCAACAAAGTTTGTACATAAATGGCTTCAAAGTTACCCTTAGATTTGGATCCAGCGCTACTTCTAATGAATTTCTATCGATCGGCCAGCTGTGTTTTTTATCTCCGAATCTTTTGACATCACTGTTATTAAGCAAAGTGCAAATCTTAAAAAGCAGTTTAAGACGATTTCTCAGTTTCAAAATGTCATTAAAACATTTTTAAAGCAAATTCACGAGCATAGAACTAGATATTTTGCAAAATTGGCTTGGCTTTGATCATGTAGTGTGGGAGGGTATGTGAATGCCTTAGCCTCCCTTTCTTTACCATGTCGATGTATACCTGTGCATTTCACACGACTTGAAAGGACAAAAAGTGACCTAAATTTTGATATGCAATGTTGAGGGGTAAATTTTTATGAATGAGTCAATGACTATGCTAGAAATTTTGAAGAGTAGCTTTGTGGCTTTGCTTTGCTTATGAAGTGGAAGAGGGTAAAAATGCACAAAATTAGCCATCCCTTACTGTTTTATTATACTCATGTGCGCTTTCCAGGTAGAGTTAGATAACAAGCTGACCAAAATTATGGTATGCAGTGTGATGGAGTTTGTTTTTATGAATGGGTCTTAGAAACCTTCAGCAAATAGGCTCTGACAGCAAATGTTCTCACCCAATCTTTGTTATTATGCAAGATGACTTGTGTAAAAAAACTTCAAAATTACACAGATTTTACCATTAGACACATCTTAAAAGAATGTATGAGGTATTTTAAATGCAAAAATTGCAAGATCCCTTCTCTATCGTTCAGCGCAGCGGAATTCTTGATTTTAAAAAAATGGCCTTTACAGTAAATTGTGAATAACGTTAAAATTTTAAATGTTATTTTAAACCAAGGAATTTTTTTACCACTAATTTTTAACATTTTAATAGAATTATTGACCAAAATCAAATCATGCCGTGAACTGTTGTGAATGCAACCAACTTTTTTCACGCACTCATATGACCTCATGCAGTTGCGAGTGCTGTAAAACTCTTACTAAACTAAAACTAAAAATTACATTTATACCGTAGAAGAAACAAGAGCCTTGTAAATACCGATAAATAAATGGCTGAAAGATAAGTATTTAATGGAACTCATTTTTTGTTCAAAAATTGATTTTGGATCTTAATCTCAGTTTGAGCAAATGCATCTTCCCGTACCTTTCACCAAGCAAGCACACATATATTTTAGGTTCTGTAAAGGTTTGAATCAGTGTTGTTTAATAACAGAATTAAATGATTGATGTTTGTGACATTTCAGTGTAGGTCTTTATTGCAACTGCCACTCCCCAGTGTAAGAGCTTACTACCTTGAGACCTGTTTTTAGAATCTGATGGACTGTGTGGCTTGAGACTAGCTTACTTGTCATCATCTCTATGGTGAGAATTGAGCTTTAGCAAGCAATTGATATTGCTCCTAGAGTAAGCTTGAGATATATTTTTTTTGCAGAATATTAGCTTTAGACCTCAAGATAAAAAAGTTCAACTGCCGTAATGTAACAAATGTCTGAGGGTTGTTTTTTTAGGAACATGAGATGCATGACTTTTTTGGCTGACACCCCCCCACCCCTCCTGTAGTTTGGAGGTATTTTCGTTGACGTAAATTCTTTTTTTGTCTTTTCCCTCAGGTGTATTTTGGATAGACTATGACTCGCTGTGCAAATTCTTTGATGTTTTCTACATCAACTGGGATCCTGAATTGTTTTCTTACACTACCTGTATTCAACAGTAAGAATTTGCTTCTAACTTGTGTTGTTGTTCTTCTCAGTAGTGCGTGACGAAGTTTTCCCTTGTTTTCTTGAAAAAAAGTGGAGAGTTTGATGACAGGTCGCGACCATGTGCATTCTTGTCGTATCTTCATTTTTAATAACAGGGAAAACAGCTCATAACAAAGAGTGTTCTTAAGAAGAAGTCACATTTTCACTGTTGAAATGGAGATACGACAAGAAAACACTGAAGGAAAGCACTGAGGTCGCGAGATGTACTCTGAGGAAAGTCATTGCCCATCACGGAGACTACTTCGTTTTTTCGGCTCTTCTGTTGCTTTGATCTGTTTGTCATGAAATGTGGATGTAGTTGTGTAGATTCGTTGAACTGTAAACAACCCAGCAAAAGGTCCCCTTCAACTTTCCTTTCTTTCTCTCTCTCTTTTCTCTTCTCTCTCTCTATTCTCTCTTTCTCTCTCTCTCTTTCTCTCTCTCTCTTTTTCTCTCCTCTCTTTCTCTCCGTCTCTCTCTCTCTCTCCCTCTCTCTCTCTCCCTCCCTCTCTCTCCCTCTCTCTCCCTCTCTCTCTTTCTCTCTCTCTCTCTCTCTCTCTCTCTCTCTCTCTCTCTCTCTCTCTCTCTCCACCCCACTTCCTTATTTTTCTCTTCTTCCCTCGAACTGAAGCAACATGTTATATATTATATTACTGTGTACTCCTGATCCCTGTTTCTTATAACAGCACCTGGTCTGCCAAGGAAGGCCCCAAGAAAGACTCTTACAACATCAGTGATAACCCACAGTACAAGCTGGAAATAAAGGGGAACCAACCAGGAGCTGTGTGGATTTTGCTGACTCGGCATATAGTTGACAAGGTGACTGCTGTTTGAGGGGAGAGGGAGGGGGGGGGGGAGAGGTGTGTTTAGAAGTACAGGGTCCCCACAGGGTCGGGAAATCGGGAAAAAGTCGGGAATTTTGAGATGGGTCGGGAGGTCGGGAAAAAGTCGGGAATTTTGTGATGGGTCGGTAAGTCGGGAAAGTTTTGGGCCTGTGTAATGTGCAGCTATGTAGACTGTATGGTTGATGAATCCTAATGAGGAAACGTAATTGAACCGCTGTGACGGAAGTGTATGTGTGACACCGAGGCTCGATCAGGAAGAATCAAGATCTGCTTTCGGTAACGCCCAGAAATTGTCCGATAATAGTCTGATAGATAACGCAACATTTGTAACATGCAGGTTGTGCATTATGAATGCTGTGTCCCCTTGAAAATAAATCAATATTAAAAATTGCCCTCTGCTGTCGCTTGTGGAAAAAAAAAAAGAAAAAGAAGTTATACAAGCGTCTTGACAGGTTCGCCCTCGTGACCGGTCAATGAACCTGTGAGTACCGGCGGTCTGAGCTCTGTGAAGTATAGGATTCCTTTATAAGATACACTCTGGAAGGGGATTGGGGGGGGGGGGGAGCTGAAGGCAACGCTAGAGGACAAAAACTGAACTTGGAAGCAAATTTTTAGCATTTTGATAACTACTTTAGAGCTCTCTTCAAAGCGGGTGTTGGTGCAGGCCTTGTGTGGATTCAGGATCCGTCATGCCTTGTTATTGAACTAAAGTGTTTGCGTTTCATTGGATGGGGTGATTGTAATTTATATATATATTTTATTAGCTTTCTGTTGAAGATTGGCAGATTTTCAGTGTCACTGCATCTTGCCCCCCCCCCACCCAGTTCTTACACCTCTCACACTGAATAGTTGTACTTGAGCCATTCTAGTTATTACTCTACTTTGAGTTGCAGCAATGGTTTTCGTCTTCACGTTTATTATATGAATCACGACACCCAGACTGGTTATTGACAGCCGATTTTCTAGTTCTAGGTCTTTTTTCAGGCTCAAAACAGGATTCATTTTTTTATATAGGGCCTATAGTTTGTTATGTTGGCTAATATGATGAGGGGAAAATATAAATAAGTAAGAACAGACTGAAATACCAAAGTCTCTCAAGATCCCAGTGCCACACTGACATGTTGTTAACTGGATATAAGTACCTACATGTGTGTGTGTGTGTGTGTATTCACAAACATATACATGTATTATATTAGATATAAATGGAGCACACGCTTTCATTTTTATGTAACGTGTTCCTGGAAAATGGATGAGGCCCCTCCCTTGGAAAATTGAGAAGCTGGTTTGGCAGTCACCCAGTATTATAGTCATCTATTGTTTGAAGACTATACTACAAAATGTACATTTGCATTCATTTATAGACATTTTGACTTTTTATCTTTGATAGATTGGCTTTTTTGGGGATCATTCTTGACGCTCAGCGGCCTGATTTTTTCCCTCGAATTGGAGTCTTAAAAAAAATTTGGGGTCTTGAAAATATTTTCCAGGATTTGGTGGGGACCCTGGAAGTAGAGTGAGCATCAGTTGTCCGGCATTCCATTTGCTCAGTTGGTTTCATGATGTACGATAATGTTGATGACCCTGATTCAAATCGCTTACTGAGCTTTTTTTTGCGCTTAAAATGGTTGGCAAGTGATCCTCTGGATGTCCATATACAGTCGAAACTCTCTAAGATGGACATTCATTTTCAAGGAGATAAGTGGCTGTTTAAGACAGGTGGCTGTCTTACACAGTGTCATTGTCACGTAAAAGTTATGACAGGGAGGAAATGGGAAGTGGCCGTTTGAAGCGTACGAGTTATTGTCTTATACAGGTGGCCGTTAGAGCAGGCTTTGTGCTTGTATGAACTCTTTTCTCCAAAAAGTTGGACTTTGTTTTCATTTGGGAAAAAATTTATGTCTATATTAACCAGTCTTTTTGTCCGTTTGTTTGTTTTGTTACATGTTTCAGAATTCGACTATGAATAACAGTTTTGTGACGTGGATGGTTGATGGGTGCTCTGGTGTGGTTTGCTCCTTCTTTCCTATCAAGCATCTGTCATCCTTATCTCTCCTCCATGTGTTTTGTGTTTGTTATTCTCTTGTCACACCTCTAATCTTTGGCACTTACATGACCTAATTGTGTTGCAAGTGCCTAAAAACTTGTACTAATCTCCAATTTTGTGAGTAATTGCGATGGATTGTTCTTCCTATCTCTTTGCTCTGCCTGCTTTTTTGGCTTTTTTTACTTTCAGTGTGCCTGCTTCATTGTTCCATATAAATGTTCCTTTGTATTTCTATCTCAAAGGCTGATTTTGCTGACAACAAAGAGTTCATCACAGTTCTTGTATATAAGAATGGAGGAAAGAAGGTGTTCTATCCATGTAAGTTCTCAAATTGTCATCAGTGTGACTAACATGTTGAAAACTTGTTGGGTGGATGCGTGAGGAGGTGATTGACTATAATTTTTAACCAAGATTGTTAGATGAATGACAAAGTCTTTTCCTTCTCCTGTAAAATTTTGTTTTTGTAGGATAAAGGGTTGTTGTACTCTCTAAGAATACTGGTCAAATAGATGGGGATAACAAACTGTGTGAAGAAGCTTACGTACTACTGGTCATGGTTTACCCTCTTTTTGGCAATGTGAAAGAAGGCCATTGTGAAGAGCACATCTTTGCTGATATCAACAGCCAGAAAGGTTATGAAGATGGTTTGATTTCAAGTAAGCACATTCCCATTTTGGGTCAAACATTTATTTGCCTGTTTTTAAAGTGATGTGATGTAACAGAAAATTTTGTGTATCTAAAAGAACCTTAGGTAAGGTCGTGGGTTCGAATCCTGTCAGGGACCCGACATTGTGTCCTTGGGAAAGGCACTTTACACGTTTTCCTCACTTCACCCAGGTTGGAATGGGTACCCAGCTATAGACAGTGAAAGATCTTGTCAGTTTGTTAGTGTTTGGGCGCTGAATCGGCTGCTTGCACTGTATGCTTCCCGGGAAGCTGAGAATGTTTCTGAGTGTTCTATGGTCTGCTGGGGTAATAATATAGTGTAAAGCGCATAGAGCTTGCTGTCGAGCGGGGTTATGCGCAATACAAATGCTATATATTATTATTATTATTATTATTATTTGTAAAAATGCGGCATAGACATGTTGTTATATTTTTCAACAGATGACCCTCCGCCTTACAAAGATGGTGTGCGCATCAACAGTCCTCACTACCTGTGCAAACTAGTTGAGAACAACAGCCATGAACCTTACACTCTTGTTATCTCACAGTATGAAAAGAACAACACAACACATTACACACTTCGTGTGTACAGCACATTGGAGTTTTCATTAACAAGGTTTTTGAATCCTTACAAAAAACAGTATGATAAGAAGGTAGGTTCAAGTAAACTTTTTCTTGTTTACTTTTTTTTTTATGTCATCAAACTCGCCTTATATAATGAATGCTTTTGGGAGCTTGAGGAGAGACTTTAGTGCACGGGGGGGGGGGGGGGGATCATGGTCTAGAGGTATGCTGTTCGCCTCTCATTCAATAGGTCTCGTGTTCAAAACCTGTCAATAATGGAAAATTTTCTTCTGTAAAATGTTCTCCTTTAACCCCCTTTCCTGCTCTCTAACCATGTTGTCGTCTGTTTTCATCGCCACTTTTTGCCCTCACCCTCTTTGCCTGTACCTCTGGGCTCCTGACTCTTTCTGCAGCCTTTCTACTACTAGTAACTCCTTGGCTTCTTCTTTCTACTGTATTGCAGCCACACCCCTGATCTTAGGGTTGGTAAGATCTAACACCTAGTTAAAGATCCCTTGGTGCTCCTAAAATCGATAAGAGAAAGCTTCGTCTGTAACCCAGGCAAAATTCAAAATTAATTCCTATCAAATTGAAAATGCTGAATATGTCTAGCGCACTGATATGACCTTATGCAGTTGCGAGCGTTGTAAAACACTTATCAAAGAAAAATATCAATGGGCGATCGGTGGGCACTCCAGTGTGGTTTGCACCTTCTATCCTATCAAATATCAATTATCATAATCTCTCCTCATTTTTTTCTTTGCATAATACTGTCTAGTAAAACCTCTAATCTTTGGCACGTATATGACCTAGTTGTGTTATTTTTTAAATAGCTGTGTAGAGTAGCTTTAACTGGAAGATACATAACAGGAAGTGTTAACAGCTATTGTTTAATCAGTTTTTCTTCCTGGAAATTCACGAAAATTATATTTACAGATCTCTTAACGAGTAAAAGCTCTTTGCCTATGTCCAATACTATTTCTTCTGCAAAGAAAAAAAGAAACCTTTGATGTGCTGTTCTGTGACTAAAAAGAATGAACAAATGCATGTTTGATTCAAAGAGTCAATTCTTTTGAAGCGCTGTGAAAAATAAGACGACTCATTTCTTAATATTCTTTTTCAGATCACAGGTCAGTGGAAGGGCAAAAGTGCAGGTGGATGCGCCAACAACCGTGATAGCTACAGCAACAACCCTCTGTACCAGGTGCACATCGACAACCAGAGCACGGACAATCACCTCATGATTGAACTGCTGGGGCCAAAGTAAGTCACTCAGTTCTCCTCAGAATGAGCTTCAGTGCAGTCTACTTAAACCGAAACGGAATCTGCAGGACTACTAGATTTTTCTTTGGTTTATCTCCATGTTTTTTGTTTAGAGAGATTGGTCAAATAGCAAATGGAAAAAAATCAGGGATTCCATTTTCTTTCGGTTTACTACTGTTTTTGGATTGTGTTCAGTTTAAGCAGACTCCAGTGTATTTGATTTGCAGAAAAACTCTTCTCAAGATTGACAAGTGGGGTGTTGGAGTAGGCGTCTTTTACTTACTAACTTTCTCCCTGTTCTGTTAGGTACACAAGGTATGAGAGAACACATGATGTCATGCTTATGATTTATGGTCACTTCCATGTCACTTCTTCCAACTTCCTTCCCGTCCTTCCTTCCCTTCCTTCCTTCCCTTCCTTCCCACACCACTTCTTCCAACTTTGTCACAACCAGGTCTTGGGTGATTGTCTCATCTCTGATCATACTCCCAAAGGTGTTACTTTGTCCAACTCATCCCAGGGTTCGTACGGGTCTTGGAAAACTGTAACACTCTTGGAATTTTGTTTATATTTTCCAAGAAATGGAAAACTCTTTGAATTTTGGGAAATTGTCAATTTCTTGAAAAAATCTTGTAAAAACAAATTTTAAACTAGATCCATTGTAAAAACACTTCCTCTAAATTTAAAGTGCCTGGACTTTACGCATTCTGAATAAAGCAGTGACAAAATATATATCTGGTCACATGGGCTTATTCAGGCTGCTATACAAAAATGATCTTCTTATAAAACCAGCTGGCGTGCGTAGCGGATGAGATGAGTTGAGACGAGGTGGGCTGTCGTGGGTTGACAGTTTACACATTTCATCCATGCCAAGAAGTGTATGATAATGTATTTTTGCATGCTGAACAAATCATTTTCTTCTAAAATAATACCTTATTTGTCTTGGATAAAAGAAATCTGGTCTTGAAAACTCTTGGAAAAGTCTTGGGAAAAAAAATCTCCTGATCTGTATGAACCCTGTCATTCTCTTTGCATATCATTTCTGTTTTGTTTTCTTAACTGGAGACAGCACCAGGTAAACATCAATATTGATGTGCCATTTTCCTCAAATTGACAAAGGGATGGTATTCTGAAGATATTAAAAAATCTCTGAAGTCATACAAAAAAAATTTGGTTTGTTTTGTTTCCTGGATCTTGTTTTATGTTCTCATCAATATGATGATATCAAAGTTGAAAAGCAAAGACTTGTGAATATTGTTGAATGAAAGTTCATTGAATCTTTGATGTTGCGCTTACTGGAAAATTTTGATGTAGATGAGGGTGTATGCTGAAAGTTGTCGTTGAGAAAGTTTTTGTCGTTTTTTTGGTTACCGTGAAAGACACTTCATAAAATTTGTTTAACAAGCCCTCTACTTTCACTGTTGTCGGTCATTATTTCTGTCTTGTTAATGAGTTTCTCAGTTTCTGTAAATGGAAAATTGTAGTTACTCTACCTGGTCTCTTAATTGTGGGGTTTGGGGGTTCAGGGCTGAGGTTGACCTGTTGTTGTGTCTTTAGAAAAGGCACTTTATACAAATTTTCCCCACTTCACACAGGTATGAATGGGTGCCCATCCATAGGCAACGAAATATTTTGTCAGCACATTAGTGTTTTGGCACCAGTAAAATGGCAGCTTGGACTGTATGCTTCTCAGGAAGTAGAGATTGTTTCAGAAGGCTATCAGGTCTGCAAGGGTTATATTGTAGATTGTAAATCATATAGAGCGAGCTTGATGTACAGATTTATTTATTACTATTGTCATTTGTTGTATTATCTTCTTACAACTGGTTATTGCAATTCTTAATCCTCCCCAGGCAATACAGTGTTGGCTTTGAGGTGACCTGCGTCAGTGCTAACGTCTCGAATGCCCCTGGTGCCTTCAGCAAACAAAGTTCTGGAGATTTCCGACCTGGCTACTGTGTTCTTCAGCTCTCAAACGTCTCTGGAGGAGTGTACAACATACGTCCCTGCACCTTCCGGGTGGGCAAGGAGGGCCCGTTCTTCTTGGAATTCAGCTGCTCCACGTCGTATGCCGTTTCTCAATTACAGTAGCACACAGGGACTGAGTTCAAGAGATAAGCCTAAGTCATAGACATGTATTATAAATTCATAGACCTCACACTCTGACATGATTCCAGGTCGCTATGGAGTGCAACCATTCGCTACTCTAGAAATGCAAAGTTCTATCTGCTCAGTTCCTAGTTTTGAAAAATTTGATGTTAAAAATTTTGGGTTCACATCAAGTCAAGCTTTTTCAAATGCAATACTTTGAGTATCTTGATAACGACTCCGAATAATCGTTCTATTTTGGTAGAGTAGATGGAAGATTTGGTTTCTTACCTCATGGTCTTAGTGATTGAAAACGGCCAAAAATGTCAAATAGAACTGTGTAATTCTGTGGTAGTGAATTCTCTCAATTTGGAGTCAGATGAAGGGCAAGGTTGGGAAGGTGTCATAGACACTGGACTATTATACCAAGACTGGTGCTTTGCTCTTCATTTGGGCCCCATGGTGTGCACACTTGTTAGAGACACTTTTATAGAGAGCAAAGAGTGGCGGTCATGACAATGCAGGGACTAGGATATTATACATCAAGTCTATGGTCCAGATCTGCCACTTGTGTCTGGCTGTACCCGGTGTCTTGCTATCCCAGTGAGCTGAAAAGCCCCACACAAGGGGAGTGAGTACACATAATAGGTTTTGTCATAAACAACATTGATCATCATTGCTTGAGTAGCCTCAATACCCACTTTCTGCAGTCATTAACTCCTTATCTCCTGGGGGGGGGGGGGCACTATGTTTGGTCCCTCTTTTGGAACAAAATCTAAAAGTGACAATATATGTCTCTAAACTGGTCATTTGATCAAAACAAGTAAACCTATTTTGATAGTTTTTCGTCTAAAGATTGAACTCCCGGTAAAAGAAAACTATTTTCGGCAATTGCCGAAAAGTAATTTAACGTTGAAGTCATGGTAAAGGAATATGCCGGAGCCGCTGCCAGAGGCTTACTGGCACTACAGTTCCAGCTGTGAGCCACTGGGAGCAGCTTGCCTGAGATTAGGGGTTAATAAAAGTTCCAGTCACATGTATCCTACAGTAAATGGGAGATTCTCAACACAAAAAAGTTGACTACACAAGAAGTACAAAGTAATGTTTATGAACAAGCCTAGAGCGTCTTCTTTCCCTGCTCTGAAATTGTCTGGTCTTCCCTGTGCTTCATTACTTGTTGTTGTTGTTGGTTGTGACCCAAATTATGAAGTAGTCTTTTCTTTCCTACAAGACATCTATCGTCCTTATCGCTCCTCCTTCTATACTTAGTATGTTACCCTCTAGTAGACTAGTATTGCCCCTAACGTTCAGCACTTGTATGACCTATTTGTGTGAGTTGCATGTGCTGCAAAACCTTTACTTAGACCTGCATGTTTGCCGACAATCGTCTGAAATCCGACAATCGCGACCTGACCCGCAAACCGGCCGATGCTATCGCTAGGCCCGCCTGTATCAGTCAATGTGTGTAGTGCGAGGCTTGGTCGACTGCCAGCGACCCCTTTTTCTCCCGTCGGCTTCGTCGGCACTTTCGTTTTCGTGCCGACCGCCGAGGCGCGCACCGCCTACTGCTGACGTCGGCGTTTCTGACATAATTGTCGGAACCTGAGTAGAAATGCGAATACGAAAAAGGATGACAACTTAAATTATCTACTTTCAGTTTTGTGCTCGAGCGGCCATTTTGAATTTCGTTTGTTGACTAATTCAATTGTTCAGATCGTGTGGATTCATTCAAGTCCGACTCTCTTGTTCTAATAGAATCTAGATCTAGAGTCTAGATCTAGATTTATATAGATCATTATAGACCTCAATGGAGGATTCATATTTCAATTCTATTGTGTCAAACCTTATCATAGGTTGTGCTGTAATATTAATATTGGTAAAAATAAGCATTTCATCAGGTGCGTGAATTATTTATTTATTTAGATCTAAGATATAGATCTAAATCTAGATCTAGATCTATGCTCCTTGTTTGTTTTGGAGTGTGGTTTTTTAATTAAAAATTATTTTTTTTCATTTAGGAATTGTTTTGGCCTTTTTACATGAGGCCCGTTGCAGGTTCTATTTGGGGTTAGGGTTAGGTCTCTTTTTTATTGTGTTTGTTGGGGTGGTCGCTCGTCACTCGGATGTCCTTCCTTATGACACCCACAAAGGCTTTGGGGGGGTTGCGCAAAATTTTCAGACAATCTGGTTGAGGCTCACATGCAGGTCTACTTTACTACAACTAAACCAAATAAATGACAAAGCTTTTCTTAAAATGGAAAATACTGGGATGTAGATATTTTGAAGCTCTTGTTGGTTTCTTGCAATTTGCGCAGCTGCTCTGGTATAAAGTTGTGCAACAGGATTGTACTTACTTCGTTTGGCAGGAATCTTCCTGCACTAGACCTATCTTACATATCTTAGATAGATTGGAATTCTCCAATGTTTGTACGAAGAAACAGGTTGTGTCAAAATGTCAAATTGATTTCTCAAGTGGTCCGGAGTTGAAATTTATGGTTAGAACAATGCAATTAGTGGAGCTGGACTGAAACATAATTTTTTAAATTTTTTTTTAAAAACTAGGCATTAGCAGCCAGTATGATCCACTGATCCTGTGACATCGCTGTCATTTTTCTTTTCCATGATACTTCAACCCAATAATCTGACAGTGTTTTGTATTGCTGTGATAAAACTTTGGAAGGTAATATTGGTCTATGTTATGTTACTTTTGCAGCCACTGTCATACCTTTTCATTGTTTTGGAAATATGGTTTCATGCATGTTTTAACATCATGTGAGGAAAATGACGGCTCGAGAGTATGTCTGCTTCATTTTGAAAGTTTTCTCTTTTTAACATCTCAGTCTTGACTTTTTCTAGTTTATTATTTTTTTTCTTATGTAAAAACCTTGCATAACTGTTTGTTTTATAGATTAATAATGTGGATGGTTGGCGGGTGCTGTCATGTGATTTGCTCCTTCTTTCTTATCAAGCACCTTTTGTCCTTCCCTCCTCCTCCTTCTTTCTTTGCATGTTACTCTCTTGTAACACTTCTAATCTTTGGCACTTACATGCCATAAGATTTATACTGACAGCTGTTATTGAAAGGAAATAATTGACTTGGGTGTTATTGTGGGTTTTTTTTATGTACCACGGTCGACTGTAATGTTTGGTACAATATTGAACTTCTGAAAAGACATGAAGTGTGAGTGTCTGTACATCTATTATCTGTAAGGCGATCTGTGATATTTTTACCATGTTTACCACCTTTGTCCATTCTGAGTATTTTTTGAAGAGGATGTGTTAGAATCTGTGTAAGTTTATGTTGCTTACAATGGTTCTTTTTCTAACTTCATAGAATGTATAACGGTACATGATGTTCATGGACACACGTGTTGAGAGTGACAATTTTTCCATAAAATTTCAGGTCCTCTGAATTTGATTTGAAGCTTGCTTAGACTGAGTGGACTTTCGGTTGCTTTGCTTCTTTCTGCTTTAGCTATAACAGTGTATCTGTGTGGTGCTGCAGGAAATGAAATTCGGTTTCTTCTTCTAACCATTGCTTTTTGTAGTCGCTTAAAAGACAATGCCAAACATTTCCTATGAATACAAATTGATGCGTTGAACATATTTATTGTGAAATATTATTCTATTACTTTTAAAATGATGTCCTCTTGGTAAGCGTTCTGTACACTTTGATAATTTGCTTCTTACTTCTCTAAAATGATTTTGATGATTGGTTTATTTATTTTTGTGCTGTTATTTTACTTTTCCAAGGTGTTTCTAATGAATAACTTCAGCTTTTTTTTTTTCAGGAACTGGTTGTAATAATTATTTGTCAAATGATGTTTCTTCATATACGTCTACAAATCTTGACTGAGCATACTACACAGGAATTTTTCATGCTTAGTTTGAAAAGCAGAATGTTTGTATATTGTTTTGAAAGAAGAACATTAATGCTGTACTAGTTATGCTTTTCTGTATTTTCTAAAAGAGTTGTTCTTGTTTTCAATTGTGGGTAGTTGACGGGTGCTTTGGTGTGGTTTGCTCCTTCTTCCTATCGAACGTCTATTATCTTTCTCTCTTCCTTCTTTTTTATGTTAGTTATTCTCTTGTAACACCTAGTTGTTGGCACTTATGTGACTTACTTGTGTTGCAAGTGGTGTAAAACGCTTACTAAAGCAGCACAAAATTTTTTTCTTTTTATGAACATGTTCCTCTGTGACTTTCTTCTTTCATAATAAGTTTCACTGGGAAATTCTGTATAAAAGCTTTTGTAAAACTTTGCTTATCTGTTGGTCAAGTACATGCTCCATTTTGAATGTTACAGTTCTGATCAAATGTTTCTTTCACACTCTGGCAGCAGTTATATCTAATGTTTAAGGCTGATGGCATTTCTCCACAGCATTATGTAAAATGTCTCAACTTCCATTGCTTTATGATCAATCCTGTATTGTTAGATCATTTGTGTGTGTGTGTGTTGCAAAATGTTCCTCTTTATTTATTGAAATGAGTGAATAGCTGGGAAAATGGGAAATGTAGGTTCCACTGGCTGATATATCTATAAAATGCTAAGTCAAAATGACTAACATTTTTTAGTTTTTAGATTTGTAGCCCTTCAAAATTTTAAAGATTTGGTCGAAGGGTCTTACCTTTTCACTATTCCTCTGTTCCTGTCTTTACGGCTGTTTTTTTCCCCTCTGTACTGAATGACCATTTCAGTGTTATATGCTTTTCTTTAAGTTAGAAAAGCAATTTCTGTGGACTTATTACTCCTGTCTGTTCATTTCCATTTCCATTTCCCTTTCCATTTCCATTTCCATTTCCATTTCCATTTCCCTTTCCATTTCCATTTCCATTTCCATTTCCCTTTGAGTAGTCTCTGTATGGCATCATTCTGGTGGAAATGATCTTCAGTTTCTGTTTCTATGTGCCGTAAACTGAAGAATTTTTTCTGTCATGTTGTAATAACTTAATTCTTTTTCTAGTCAGAAAAAACCATACCAAAGTTTACATCTAAAGGTAGATATATTTTGTGTAAAAAATATTGACCTTTTTGAAATAAATATATGAGTAGGGTTTTGAGATCTAATCTTTTCTTCTTGGCTCTGGAGCATCTGCTTATTGGAAATGTTAAAAAAGTGAATGAAAGTAAAAGAAAGAATATAATTTTGGTTGAACACTTTAGCGCCACAAGGCTCATATGTGTCACGACGTGGAATCAGGCGCTCGTCAATTTTGGGGCATGTGGAGTTATTGGTATCATCTGAAAGCTGATCTATTTGCCTTGCTTCCAATGAAGTAAATATCCATTTATATTGATTAGAATCCCAGATATTTGCGATTGAAGGAAGTGTGGTCGCCTGATATCAGTGGTGAAATTAGCGAAAAAATGGCCGCCAAAGTTTGGTAACTCCTATAGCTGAAAAGTCTTTGAAAACTGAAAAATGACATAATTTGTGCCTTAAATCAATGTTTTTCAGTAAAATTCACTTGGAAATGTATTTTCATACAGACCTAAAAGAGGTTAAGCCAAAAAATAAAAACTCAATGAAAATGTCCAAACTGGCGGAAAAATGCTTTTCTCCAATTTTGTTATTTTGACGAGCACCTGATTTCACCGCACTGCCTCACAAATAGTAAAAACTCAAGCCATCGAAGGCAAAGGCATTTTGGAAAAAAAATCCAAAGAAACTGAGTGGTTAACATCGCCGATCGCGAGATGAGGCGTCAAAGTGTTGAAAGACAGTTTAGTCCCAACCTTGTAAAATAATTCAACTCATGTTGGTATCATTATTGTGACTTTTTACCTGTAACAATGTACCCTATTACTGGGTGGGGTTTCTTTTTTTCCCCAAACACCTTTTGTTCTTGAGTCGAGTGACTCCACACACAAGACAATTAAAATGCCACCCAACTGGTCATGCTCAGGTGCAAGTTTATGCTCCGCAAGCATTTTCTACAAAGTTTGCCTTCTGAAATGAAAGCTCCTGAAAACACTGTTTCCGAGTCCATTTCGGTTGAATAAAAAGTGAAGAAGTTATACGTTTTTGTCCCTGGCGGCTTGGCATTGATAAGCTATCACACTCGTAATTTCATTTTTACATTAAAAAAAAATATCTCATGTAGAGACCTCATCTCCTGTCCTCTATGACAATTAAACTGCCAGTTAGTTTGTGATTGAAACTTTTGAGATGTGTTTATGAACAAGCATTTATTAAGGTTTTTATTTATTGTGATGTGGGAAGCTTGAAACAGAAAGTGCTATTATTTAATTTCCCGTTTAGTTTGTTACTCTTCTGGTTTGCCAATTAGTGTTTTCTTTTAAAAATGAGGACCCAAGCTTCCTTTCTTTCCATTTATCTTCTGCTTCTGTTATCCTGATTTTGGCAGAAAGTTTGTTGTGTGAACTCCAATGTGTCTTCAACTTAAATTCTGTGGTAGACTGAAATGGCAAATACGACTCCTTGGGTTTTGTGATCGTACAGCTCAAGGGCTGAGTTTTATATGTGTTACGACACGATGGAATCAGGTGGTCGTCAATTCTTGGGTATGTAGGTTATTGGTATTATATTAAAGGTTGTTCTTTTGTCTTGCTTTTAGTAAAATTTAGTGGAAAAAAGTACCCATCTATAGTGAATGGAAGTTGAGATATGTGCGATAGAAGGGGGGGGGGG